ATACAATGAGCTGTGTCAAATCGCTGCACTCTGCAATTTACGAGAGGACAGAACACATTCATGTAAACGCCGTAGGTTTTGAGAATCTTTTGTCTTGCTCTGACGAAGGTTGTTGTTGACTGAAAGCTTGCCACATTCAAATACTAAAACATGCATCTGATTTAAGTAAGCAGAGACTTATTTTCAAAGTTAAGACTTGTGGAATCTGTCATCAATACATTTGACCAATAATTACATGGAGACAGTTGAGATCATTTTGTGTGGATGACTTACGTAGAATCTCGCTCAATCACATGCTGTGAGATTCAGAGAGTTGTTACGTTTGAGATTCAGAGAGCCAGAGTTTTTATGTTTGCTTGGTGCACCCTCTAGTGTGTTTTCAGCATCAGAATCCTTCAATTTGTAAGCCAATGCCACAACACCAGCAGTACACCTTTCTTTCCACAGGGGGGCAGTAAAAACCCAAGTAGCTCAGAGAACTAGCGGAAAAGTCACATACACGTGTCCAGTGACCTATATTCCATACTGTTGGGATTTAAGACAGAAAAAAAATATATTCCACATTGTACTGGAAAACCCCAAGAGCTACGTCCCACATGGCAAATGGTTGTAGTGCACTATAGAGGGCATAGGGGTTGATTTGGGACACATCCCAGATCCGATTAGAAGACAGGTTCCGTATTGGGACGGTGGTGTTACTATAACGACATGGTGGAAGAACGTTGGTTAGTTACATCATCATAAGATTTGAATGTAGTTTCCATTTATAAATTTACCTTTTCAAGTTTCATTTGACCATCCAGGCTGGTTTAGGTGTAGCTTTCTGCCACTGAGTCTGATTGTAGTTGATCAACAGACTGGTTTACATTTTAGTCATTCTTATCCAGAGCGACTTACAGTTAGTGAGTGCATACATTTTCATACTGGCCCCCCTGTGGGAAACGAACCCACTACCGTGGCGTTGCAAGCACCATGTTCTACCAACTGAGCTACAGGGGACTAGATCTGGATTTCTGCCACTGAGTCTGAGCGGGAAGAGGTGAGACAAGAGTCCTTCTACAGATCATGGGTTGCATTCAAGATGTCACCAAATGGTACCAATAGGACTCAAAAGTAGTGCCCTAAATAGGGAATAGGGTGCCTGAGCCAACTCAGTAGCTCATGACGTGTTTTGGAATGACAAAACCGAATCTCAAAAACAAAAACAAATCTCAAAACCAAATCTCAGAACCGAATGTGGGGTAATGTTATGGTCCTGTCACCTCAGTGTGAGAGGTAATGTTATGGTCCTGTCACCTCAGTGTGAGGGGTAATGTTATGGTCCTGTCACCTCAGTGTGAGGGTAATGTTATGGTCCTGTCACCTCAGTATGTGGAGGGTAATGTTATGGTCCTGTCACCTCAGTATGAGGGGTAATGTTATGGTCCTGTCACCTCAGTATGAGGGGTAATGTTATGGTCCTGTCACCTCAGTATGAGGGGTAATGTTATGGTCCTGTCACCTCAGTATGAGGGGTAATGTTATGGTCCTGTCACCTCAGTGGGT